CCCTCCCCTTTGCTTCCCTTCTCTTTCTCCCTCTTTCCTTCTTTTCTTTCTTTCCTGCCCCAGCTGATCTCCACTGTTACAAATTTGCTGCAGTGTAGAGCTGAATATTCAAAGGTGACATCAGCCATAGATTTCAAATGATGCATTGGAGCCCAGAAGCAGGGTTTTCTAATCTAAAGGACTGTATCCTCTGTGAAGTGAGGAGAGTCCTCAGCACTTGCAAAGAGAGGGGACAGGAGAGGAGGTACCTTGTGGGGGTAGGTCCAGCAAGAGAAAATAAGGAACACAGTAGTAAGTCATTGGCAAGGAGGATGAGAGAAGAATTATAGGAAAAGTCACAGGTAATCCACAGCCAGGGCAGGGAAGTGTAGGATAACTCAAAGGAGGGAGATGAAATAAGGTAGGGGCATCTTGGGAGACGCTCTTTACTTCTTTTATTTGCAAGATGCTTCTAAAACCTGGTTGCTCTTCTTCACTGTGCCACTGACTGCTCTTATATCTTGAGTTCTCCTTGTAGATGTTGTGTTCCCACCCTTCTCTGTGGGAAGCTTCTCCCATGTGCAAACTTCTGATGCACATGTACATGACACTCTGCTGAGGAATACTGGAAATCCTGTAGCACCAAAGAGCTGGTCTGTAGCAACAGCCCAGCGCTGTTCACAGATGATGGTTTTGACTCCAGGAGGATGCCTTAGCCATTAGTCTTCACCTGAGTTTACCAGCTTAGGCAGGGGCAGCTGTACCACCTTGATTTGCAAGCCTGTGGGTCAGGCTTCTCATGGGGTCTCTAAACTTAACTGTATTATGGAGCCTGGTTGTCTGCACTGATGCATGAGACAACTTGCGAGCCATTTAATCAAACCCTCATTTCACCAACTTATCTCATATTAGTCACTGTCATCATACCTGACATCGCTCCAAAGTCAGTCAGGAATAATCTCCCCATTGCTAGTCCTACCATGAATTTATTTGCTCCTCTTCACCCTTTCAGAACATCTAATGTCCAACAACCTCATAAGATATGGTCCGTATCTCACAAGACTGCTGTATGATTAGAAAATATTTTCTTTGTACTACTGCCAAAGAATGTCTGCAGGGTTGCACAGCAAATGTAGCAAAGGTAGGAGCAGTCTCACTAAGATACACTCCTCAGTCACAAGACTAATTTATCTTCCTTAGATGCACCTTTCTTCTCCACCATGATGAGATTTAATATCTAATCTCTGTACTGAATAATAATATGCCAGCTGTCAACTGCCTGGAATTCTTACACTGGGAGAAAAAATGGTGAATGTATATAAATGACAAAGCAAATTGTACTCTAACAATATTTAGTCTTTGCCAGTCAATACTGGCAGTAAGAACACATGTAACTAAAAATATAAGATTTTATATTAATTGAAATTATGTTGGCTCAATAACATAAAGAGTATATATGCACAGACTTTATTTTAGGCCTGATCCTATTCCTATTTTAAATTCTGACTTCAGATACCTCAACAGCCATTTCTTTTCTCACACTGCTGTAAACAAAGAATAATTCTGGTGAAGCTGCTGTGGCACCAGCAAAGGCCATGGAGTGAGGAAGCAAGCTGGCAGTACTCTGCGAGGAGGGGGCCAGTCAGCCCTATTCCCTCATGAAGTCTGCAAGCAGGAAACAAAGCTTGAAGAGGTGTTTGGGTAGAGCACTTTGCTCTATGCTGCAAGAAGCTCCAAGAGGAAAGCAGTTCCTAGGACCATGCTGTAAACCATCTTGTGTTCTGTCTTTCCTGTCATCCATGTGGGACCTCTTGTGTTCAACTCTGCAGCTCTGTCTTCTACATGAGAGAGAGGCAATAAATTATTTGTACCCTTCCCTGCTTGCTGACTGCTGTGCACAAACAGGCTGGTGATGTTTGGGCCGGCAGTGACATTGAGAGCCCAGCTGTGGTCTGTGCTATTTTTCCCATGCATCTCCCATTTGTGGCTGCAGGGGCTCTGATGGTCTGAGGCTGTCCCTGCTACAGGAGGGCTTTTCCAGAAAACGAGAAGACCTTCTCCTGTGCTGCTGACAAACAATGCCTCATCCAAAGTAACACCACTCAGGTGTCTCAGGTTTCTTTGAAAATGATACCCCAAGTACCTGTTTTGAGCTTGGAGGGGTGGGGAGAAGGGAAAGGAAGTTCTCAGGTGATGGTGTCACAGTGGTTGAGCAGCCAGGCTGTGGCTGGCACATCCCCAAGCTGCTCCACAGCTTGTCCCTGCTGCCTGACTGCTTCCTCCACCACCCTGTGCCAGGCACAGCTGCCCAGCTCTGACAAACCCTACCTTGGGAGAGAGGTTGTGAAGAGGCAGCGAGGCCGTAGCATGGTGAGGGACATGCAGCTCTGGCTGCTGGGGAATATGAACTGGCGGTGTTTTCCTCCGTCTCCCCATGTGGGATCTGAGAGCTGGAGGTTGCTATCGCATTGCAGCCCTGGCTGCTGTTACAGTGCCTTTTGCATAGAGAGCCACTCAGTGACAGTACAGCCCTTCCCAGGCTGATGCCGGATGAAAAGCTTTGTCGTGCAGGTTACAAGTTTTGCGGCACAGTGCATGCTCGTGCTGCAAGTGCCTGCCATGATACTTTCTGCAGCTGCAGTGGCATTGCTGTAGCTGTTTCTGGTCTGGGAAAATGATTTATAAATAGAATTTATTGTTGGTGTATCTCCACTGTCTGTACTAACAGCAGAAGCCAGAGCAAATTGCAGTTGATTTGTTTGTGGTTTACATTGAGTTCATAAATTAACTAGAGAAAAAGGTGAACTATTTGCTGTGTTAAAATATAACTAGGAAAATGGCATAAGGGCAAACTATTTGCCTGAAAGGGAACTTATTTTTGACAAAACTGTATAGGAAGCTTTAGATTGCAGTAGCAGTACTAAAAGCCCTTTTTGATCAGTAGTTTATCTCATACTTGAACACTTACTAGAATTTGTTTCCAAGTCCGAAGGCAAAATTTTTGAGAGGCAAATTAGCTGCAGGACACACAGATGAGTGAACATACAGTGTTTTTTTACTTAACTGTTATTTCTTCAAATGGAAAACACACATTTGCTTTGCATTAATGGCTTCATTGTAATGATTAATGTCTCTGTGTCTTTCTGTGATTATTTTTCACTTAAGAGTGTGGTTACCAGTAACAGTTTGTCAAAAGAAACAAGTGATGGTATATCAGTTATCTCACAAAGCACTAAAAAGTTTTCTTTAATTTTAATCTCTTGTAATAATCCTTTCTGCCTAACATGCATTTCCCTCCTTGCCCATGAGAACAGAGTTAACTTTAAGAATATATTGCAAGTTCTGTGTTTTAACTTGTGTGTGTGGGAGAAGACAATCATAGATGCCTCTTTTATTTATTTACTTATTTTTTAATTTTTATTTTTTCTGTGTGTGACTTCCAGGAACATGTAGATCTTTCCCTGGCAGCATTTCTTGGCTCAGGCTTTCAAGTATCTGATGATATGACCTTTAGGAACCATCACCCTGCAATACAATAAGGTTTGGTGTATTCTGTTTGAAATCGAGTGTTTGGATAGTGGCTGAAGGCTTTGTGAAATTCCTGAGTGAAAGGAACAACATTTTCTAACGCTTGGTGACCTTTTGCATCTGCCGAATAAAAAAGTGGGTAATATTTAAAAAATAAAACTAAAAAAATAACAAACATGCACCTAATTTTTTCCCACAATTTCACATTGGGAAAAAGCCATTATTTTAAAGGAAATAAACTGCCAGGGACTGTGATGGAAATCAATGGAAATGAGGTTGTATATTCCTGGAATTTTACCTAAAAAGCGGAGTACTATTTTTGTCCTTGTTCTTCCAAAGATGTGTGCATGGGCTTTGCCTTACACCACTTAAGCTCACACTAAATGCATTAAGCTCTACAAAAGGACTTTTCAAGATGACCCTTCTAAATACAACTAGTTGTGATATCTTTGTAAGTTACAAAACTTTCCTGGAACTAAGAAACTGTACATACCAGTAAATCAAAACAATTCAAGTATTTATTGTTTGCTAGAAAAAATAATATCAGTTATGTAAACTGGGTTGAAATTTGACTTACGAAAGTATGGCTGAGATCTGTGTGTGGTCCTCCTTCCCTCCCCTCACAACTAATTAATGTATTGATATTTGTCAACTATTTTATGACACCAACTCTAAATCTCTATTAGGTACTCAGTTGCTTACAGAGAAAAACCTGTCAGGAACTGTGTCTTCCACAATGCGCACAGAGAAGGCAGTTTTCACCTATGATGCCATTTAAATTTTGAAAACAATTATTGGCCAGAGCTAGAAAACAGTAACAATTTCTCAGGGGGTTTCATGCATTAAAGGAGAGATGGAGAGCAGGGAATGAAATTTTACAGTTCATTAAGCATTTCTCCTGTTTTCTTAGAGGTGGAATATCTTCATGCAATGCAAATAATAATAAGAGTCTTTGCACGCTGAATCTCTACAAAAAATGACAAGCTTGTCAATTATAGTCCAAGCATGCCTGACACCATGGCCAGGAAACCTGCCCCACCAGTTGCTTGTCATCAAAGTCTTCTTTCATTTTGCAATGAAAGTAAATAAAAAGAATTGTTATGAGGAACAATGGGTGAGATTCACTTGAGCTGGGTTGGGAAAAGCTAAATCACAGTTTTCCAGCCAACCATTTGCATGTGTTTCCAAAGCTTTACTTGGCGATATGTGCAGTGTTTCCATGGTCAATGGGAAGCAGCTCCCAGCCAGATCTCATGTCTTTTGGGCCAGGACAAATCTGACATGTTCTAAACCTTAAGATTAGTGAAATAACATGAATTTAAGTGACTAGTCTTTGGTTGTACTGCTCAAGTAAAAATTCCCAGGATCTCCTAAATGCTAAGATATCGGTAGGAACTTTTTACTGGAGATTATGTATTATGTCATATTATACATGACAATTTTTACCAATTTGTATCCTGAATAAAAATTATACCTATCATACATATTACTACTATTCCCACTAGCACATCTTTGGGAGTAGTATTTATTTTTGTTTTGTTGTTTTTTTTTTTTTTTTTTACTACGAGCTCAGTTTCCCTCCCATCCCTGATCACACAATTGTTTCCAGGACTGCTGCTGGCTGAGTTCAGAGTAAGTCATTGCATTACTAGTTGGGTGGGGAGAGAAGGAGGACCACACACAGATCTAAACCACAGTTTGATAAGTCAGATTTCAATCCAGTTTACATTACTGACTTTATCTTTTCCAGCAAAAAATAAATACTTGAATTGTTTTGATTTACTGACATGTAGCATTTCTTAGTTATAGGGAAGCTTTGTAACCTGTAATGACATCACAACTTCCATGTAAACAGGAAGGTTGAATCTTTCTTCCTACTATACTTGTATGGCTTTTGTTATCATGAAGTGCCTCTTACTCTGAACTAATGTACCCTCACGAGAAGCACGCAAGAGCCGTCAGTGCCACTGCACGAGACACACTGGACTGTACAGAAAGTGGCTCTGGCACATGGGCTGGGTTAAAGCTCCCTGTGAGCATAGGCTGCAGAGAGTACAGCGGTGTGGTTGGCACTGCTGAGTGCTGAAGGATGCCTACAATTCAAAGGGAGTACCCCCTGAATTGCCCAAAGGTGCTCGTGCCCAGGGAATGGTCAGCTCACACCTAAAAGCTCACACACTTATTTTGCAGAAATAAGAGGCATGGATTTCCCTGCCTCTTCCCTCAACTTGAGGGGGTTCACTTCTGTCATATCTTGTAGACAACGCACGGTGGAGATTACAGCACTGAGGTAGACTGGTTGCAAACCCAGACACTGTGTCATTTCTGATGAGAGTGGGCTGTACGGAGAGTGGAATGCAAGTTTTAAAGGTCAAGGAAGAAGAGAAAATTGTCCAAAGTGTTAAAAAAAAAAAAAAAAAAAAAAAAAAAGCAGCTGTGTTCTGGAACAGTGTGTGTTTCCAAAATCTTGCTGCCATGGTCCACCTTAGAAAAACTTTGAAAAACTGAGGCTGACACATCAACAAAGGTCAAATAATGTCTTCTGAAGAGTTGGCAAAGGGAGTATTTATTGTGATGAGAAATGAGCATTGTGAGCATTGAGCTGGTCAGTTATCAATGAGCATCTTTAGGCACAGGAAAATGCACAATTAGCAGAAGTTGTTGACAGTATTTTCATTTGCTTGTTAAGATAACATCTCTCCTGTTCAAGTTCAGCTGGAAGACAGCTATTCTTTCCTAAGCTAGTTTGAAGATTATTCTATTATCATGAGAGTTATACGGTTAAATATGGCAATAGTTAAGTAGAGCCCTCCATCCTCTCCACATGGCTCTCCACATCTCCTCTGAGCAGTACCTTGTACCTGACCGAAGATACAGAAAAAGGCCAGTGACATCTTGTGACTCTCCAGAAGACACACTTTGCAGTAGAGAGGTCATTTACTCTCCGCTCTGCAGAGCCTTCTCAAGGGGGCTTATAATTTTTCTGGACTGATAGGGGTATTTAAGTTGGGGTATAAGATTCAGTTGCTGGAATAGTCTTGTCCCTCCTTTGAAACAATTTGTTTTAAAATGAGAAAATACCATGACAATCTACTGTCCCTAAAGGAACAAAGATTTCTCCGTAACTCTCCATCCTTTAACATGAGCATCAATTATTCACCTGCTAATAACTGCATCTAACAACCCATTCAGCATTCCACACACTGAGAAGGCAGGCACAGATCTTAATTTCTGATCAGAGGAACTAAAGGTTTGCATGTTTTGTGCAGGTGAGAAGGAGGCACAGATGCATGATATGAAGAAGATAAAAGTAGTTCCAAAAAAGATTTAAAAAACAGATAATGGTTTTGGTTACCAAAGACAGAGGTGATGAGCTAGTAATTACTGTTTTTGCTTTACAGACCATAAATTAAACTGATGGGAATTTTAATGGAAAAACCCCTAACCTCCTATTTTCTAGTAAAAATGTTACGTAAAATTTTTACATATGGATTTTTTTTTTTCAGAATTAACAGTAAATATGCATATAAAATTAAACCACATTGACTTCCCAACTGTTTCTGTGTTCAGGAACATGGGCAACAATAGCCACCCATTGCTAATGGTACAGACCTGAAAGCGAACAGTCTGATTTCTCCTTGGCCAGGCCACATCTTAGCACCAAAGCTGCTGTGAAGAAAAATTGTTGACTCCTCTGTGGGTAACAGATATTTGCAAGGATCACCTTCAGGATGATTAGCTTAATCCTCGAAATTCCCCAAAGAACTGCTGGGAAGAAGGGCTCTGAAAACCAGGGTGAGCCACATAGCCAACCTCCTGACTTAGAAGTACCCAATCCTTCCGCCTTAGTCGTGACCTCCCTGACTTTTAAGGTGTTGCTCGACCTGTACAGGAAACGTTTACAGCATCACGGCCGATGGGGAATCCCGTCTCCATGAACAAGGGGATCTTTGCCCTTCAAGCAGAGACTATAGAGAACGTAGTGAGATGCTCCTCTATCACACCGTCATGGCCGATCCACTGGGGTTCACTTCAGGGTATCTCATTAAGGCACCTCTTTACCGCAGCGGCACCTTCAGCAGCAACTGGTACTTTGAAAACACTGCTGGAGAGGGATGCCCCATCCCTGGAAGTGTTCAAGGCCAGGCTAGAGGGGCACTGAGCAACCTGCTCGACTGGGAGCTGTCCTTGCCCATGGCAGAGGGGTTGCAAAGAGATGCTCTTTAAAGTCTCTTCCAACCGAAGCCATTCTGCGATTCTACGATATGCGGAGAAATCTCTGTCCTCCTGAGCCCTGTGAGCAATGTCCCGCAGCGGGGAAAGCATACGAATCCCAGGCGGGCTGGCGGGGTTGGGCCGCGGGGAGGGCAGAGGCGGGGCCGGCGGCAGCGGCCGGGGCACTGCGGAGCCGGCGCGGCGCTCACCGGGCGGGGACTGCACCTTCCCCTCCGCAGAGCGGCGCCGCCCCCCGGCCCCCGCCACACCTCCCGGCCCCCCGCCCGTCGCCCCGCTCCGCTCCCCAGGCGGCGGCGGCACCCGCTGCCCCGTCGCGGCTCTGCCTGCGCCGCCTCGCCATGGAGCAGGGGCCGGCGGGGGGGTCAAGCGCCGCTGCCGCCGCTGCTGCCGCTGCCGGCACCGGGGGTCTGCTCCTGCCCCTGAGCGAGACCGAGCAGCAGCGCTACTCCGAGCTCTTCTCGCGGTGCTGCCCGCCCCCCGAGGCGGCCGCCGGGGGCAGCAGCGTGGGCGAGCTGTTCCGGGCCTCCCAGCTGCCCCCCGACACTCTGCACCAGGTGGGTCCGGCTCCAGCTCGCCCCGGAGCTGGGGGGTGCGGGTGGTTTGGGGGGAGTGCCGGACGGGACCCGCTCCCGCAGCGCTGCGGGAGAGGGGCTGGCGCTGCCTCCGCCGCGGAGTTGGGGGCTGCGGGCGGGCCGGTGCCCCTGCGCTGCCCGCGGGGCCGGGACGAGGGTCCCCTCCCCGGGCAGGTCCCTTTCCCGCAGCGGCGGTGCTGGGGCTGCACCGTGCCCGCTTTCTCCCTCCAGACGGGCTGCGGACAGTGGTGGTGTGCGGCGTCCCCGCGGTTCCGCGCTCCGGGTGCGGTGCGTGAGGGGCAGCCCGTGCCGCCGCGGCGTGCCCCGGGCCGGGCACCCTGATCCCCGGGCGCTCCCGGTCAGGTCGCTGTTGCCGTCGCCTTCCTCAAAAGGGCCCCAAAAGTCATAAAAGCAGTTGTGTGCGCAGAGCTGTAAGGACGTGCGATGTGTTAAACTTCTGGTGTAACTCTTGAGATTTTTTTTTTTTTCCTTCTACGTGTTGTTTCAGTGGAAAAAAAATCTGTGGGTTAAAATGATGCTGCGGGGTTTATGTCAGTTTTTGAGCACGAACACATCACGGTGCGAAGTGTGAGGGTCTTGTCCTGTCAGAGCAGCAAAGCCACAGAAGTCCCCAGGGGGGGCTGTGAGGCAGAACCATCCTAGTTTTGAGGAGAAGCTTGTCTGGGGTGGGAAAAGGCTTGTGCCAGCCATTTTCCAGGGACAGGGAAGAGTCAGACTTGCCTTCTCCACCTGCAGATTAGTAATTTGACTAATGCACTGCAGTTGCATAATACTTCTGACAATAAACTGAACAGAGATGGGATATTCCTGTTTATTTATTTATTTAATTTATTTACATGATTTCTGTTGTTCAGTAGCTTTTACTTACCGAGCAGAAAAAAGTTATGTTGAAAGGGAGCTGATGTAGAGTTGTACCTGGGCATCGCCTGAGGATACTGAACTTATCTACTGCTTTCCTGATAGCTGTTTGGCCATCTCTTAGTGGATGGAACTCTGAACGAAAATACGGTATTTCAAGGATATTTTTCTTCTTGCTTGTGCTCTTTACCAGATCAGTAAAACTAAAATCGTACCAAGCACTATTACTACCTTATAGTGAGCCACACTGTGACCTTGGTCTTGCAGGTGAATTTTGATTGGTGAAAGTAGAGATTTCACATAGATATAACACCAAGACTGGGTCTTTTTGCAAAGAGGATTTTAAGTAAGAAGGCATATATTTAAGAAACTTGCTATGGCCCAGTTACTGCATTTTCCAAAGAAGTGTAGAAAGAACCCTCTTATTTCCACTATGAGATTTCTTACCCTATCATTTAAGTGAAATTTATGATCATATTATTATCGTAGTCTGTTTTTGGGGCCATTTTGATTATAATGTGTGACTTAAGCCTGGAAATGGTGGGGTGAGTTTTTTTGTTTTTAAAATTATTTCCAGGTATATTTATGCTGTGAAGAGGACATTACTGGGAAACAAGCCTGTAATTGGCTTCAGGAATATTCAGATAATAAGGCCTATGGGATCTGGGTCCGTTTCTCTTCCTTCTTCCATCCCCTCCCCCTCTTGTTTATACAGCACTAATCACAGTGGCTTCTGCTCTATGGCTGGAGTGCCTGTCTTCAAAACCCACTGCAGCCAGGTATTCTTATGTTTACTGAGACGCAAAAAAAAAAAAAAAAGGTAATGAATTAAAAAGAAAGAAAGGTGGGTGTTTTGATAGGGAAAATCCCACAACATTGTTTGAGATATTTTTCTGATGCTTTTTATTATCCTCTGAAGATGCAATTTAATATTTTCTCTTTAAAAAATCCTACTATTGTAACAGTTACGGGAGCAGGGCACAGAGGTTCATGGTGTATGTTTTCTCATAGTACAGGGAACACTTCTTTTAGGCAGAGGCAGGTTGTTTGGTTTAATATAATGTGTTTTCTTTGAAATAATTGTTGACCATGAAAGTTTTTGTTTGTTTGTTTGGGTTTTTTTAATGCTTTTTAAAATCACCATCTGTTAGTGCTTCACATACAGGCATCCCTACTGACTGACTGAGAAATGGTCATGCTGAGTTTATTCATGTCAGAAATGGGGAAATTTGGAGCTTGCACAGTCCAGAAGGTACTTAACACCCTTCCCTGGCCCTTGCATGGGCTATAACAAGAGGCAGCTATGGATGGTTTTGTAAGCAATGTGCAATTTACAGCTTTTTATTCTCAAGGTATTCATTGAGGAGTGGTTTTGCAGATCAGGATGCTTCCAGAACTGGCATTTAGTGCCATAGCACTCTCAAACCTGTACTGTTGTCTTCAGTTGTACTTCTGTAATAAGTGGGATGACTTTTTGAGAAAGAAGCAGCCTTTCCTTATACAGTCTTTGATTAGGATTTCTTATAAGCATTATGGGAAATCTCCTTCTACCTTCCTTAATTGTAATGGCAGGGTTTGCTGTCTAGACAAATATCAGGTGGGTGCATCCTGGCTGGAGTTTGGTTTAAAGGTTAGTTGGCTTAATCCAAGAAGTTATATAGATAAAAGAGACTAGGTAACAGACAGCAGGTAGGGAATGTGAGACCATGTGCCAGAAGAGGAAATGCTGAAATAAATGGAAAAAATCCAAGAGCAGTCGGGTCAGTAGGAGCAGATGGTGTGCACCTGAGAGTCCTGGACCTTGCTAAGAATAAGGTGATTGAACATAGATTCATTACACCCAGGCTCATTAAAGCCACCTATTCTCCTGGGCAATAGGGTACAGCAGAGATTGTACCGATTTCACTTAGAGCTGAGATTGAACAATGAACTCGTCAATAGTTAGTTCTGGAAAAAAAGTTGAAGTTAGGACTAAAATGAAAAATGTCAGACACTTCACAGAACAGAGAAGGGCACGACAGGGACAGGAGGGCATGGTTTCATACTTCCCCCATGTATTGAAAGTTTTTGGCTAGCCATATTGTGTGATTAAAAAGATTTTATTTAGACTTGCACAAAGCCTGTGGCAAGATCTTTTACCAGGGGCTTTTAAAGTAGCTCTGTAAAATGTCTATAATTTCTTGCCTGAAAGATCTGTGCTGAGGTTGTTTTTATTTTAATTTTTTTTACAATATTTATGTAGAAGCAGGAAGGAGCAGACTAGTCATTCACCATGCAGTTCTATAGTCTGTGAGAATTAGAAGAAACTCAACAGCATCAGCTGGAGATATATAGATATATATATATATATATATATGCACACCCACGTTGGTCAAGTAGAAGATGGTGTTCCCTGTGCTTCAAGAAATGAATTTATGCAAAGAGAAAAACAGTCTTGGAAAAAAACCCTGTTTTAAAGTCACGGGGCCCACAAAAATATCACTGAAGTGAAGGTCATCCCACAGCATACTTTGTCACATAGATCAATATTGGTAACCCCTCTTACATGGGGAGAAGGCAGGCAGAGGTGTGGGAGCAGTTGGAAGGAAGGGATGAGTGAGGGTAGCTCAGGGCAGGAGGCACTGCTAATGGCCATCACTAGATAACAACAGGTTCGTGTGCCCACGAGGGCAAACTCCCTCTGGGGTTTCTGGCGCATTCCTTGGAAGAATCTATTTGGTTGTGCTCCCTGAGTGCATTGGAATGTCAATACTCCACACTGTCCGAAGGTGCTGACAGTGGCTGGTTTGCCTTGTCTTGGTTTGGGCTGCCAGGGAGTACGTACAGCCTTACAGCCTCTGCTCCTGAGTCTGGGACCCCATAGTGCATTTGTTACGGGTACCAATGGGCTGATATCTGCAGGGATTTCAGATAAAATATTGCTTTACAGAGTCAATGCCCACTGATCAGCAAAGGAAAGGTACCTTGTGCTAGTTTTACTGTTTGTTGATATTCCTGTGGTCTCTGAATATTTTGTCCTAAAAAATTAAGGAGCAGAATTGGACTAGAGATTTACACTGAAATGCTTATTTCTTTTCATTAGTTTCTGACTTATTTGATTGATTCTCACTTGGTTGTCTGATGTTATCTTTAATTCTCAGCTTTATAAACCTTATTCTTATTTGTGGATGTGGCACTATCAGCACAGAGATCCAGTTTTCTTAATAAAATGTGTTCTTTCCTCTGCAAATGAACACACTGTGTTATTTTGAGCTCTGAGGATGACAAGTACTAATTGTGTGATACTGGAGCTGTACAGGCACTGCATTTTTTAGCTGGGACTCTCCTTCCAGCACTGTGTGAATAGGGAACACAGACCAGCGATCGTGCTTTTCTTCCACAGGCTTCGTGAGTTAATTTGTGTTTATTGTGCCTTGTCTCTATAGTTACAGCTCTACAGTTTAACTGTATTTTTGTGTTCAAAAAGGAGAAGTGAGAATAGACTAAAAAAAAAAAAATTAAGTTGATATTTCTTTGGAAAAATGCCAGTAAGGATTGGCTTTCTGGTTTTTTTTTTTTTTTTTTTTTTTTTTTTTTTTTTTTTTTTTTTTTTTTTTTTTTTTTTTTTTTTTTTTTTTTTTTTTTTTTTTTTTTTTTTTAATTCCATGAGGATAAATTACTACCTACATGATAGCTGGGGTGGGAATAACTTTCTGCCTCAAACAGGGAGAAAAGAACAAGAACTGTGGCAGTTACAGTATGAGCTGTGTAAGTGAAGAAAATCTGGATTTAATGGTACTTTACCAAAGATGAAATTTGCTCTGTTGTAGCTGTTGACAGAATGTGGCATTATGGTAGTGCTGGCAGTGTGATTTAGCTGACTGAACAGCAGGTTCGTCAAAAAGTGGTGTTAGAGAGAAGTGGCATCCTACTGACATCTTTGAGCCAGGAAGAAACAAAAGCAGGGTACAACTTTAAGTAAGTGATGCAGCAAGAAGAGGAAAGGAAAACTGATATTTCAGAATCAATACTTCTGGCCGCAGTCTCCTAAACTGTCACTGCCTTTCTAGAGTCACAGGCAAACATGTGTTTATGTCAGTAGGATAATTAATAACCCAGATGTA